CAAGGCACCCCAAAATTAGCATTTTACGCAGGTACATAAATCTATGGCCAAACAGGGCAAGACAAAGATAGGGCAAAACTAGTATGCTTGGTTTCATAAAATGGCCCAGTAAACAGTTGAGATAATGAATCAACTGAACAACAGTTTCCTGACGCCGCGAAACAGGTTAGGGTCCTTTACAACAACATTGAGAGGGGCCCAAAACTATGAAATTTTTTCAGAACTGTGAAAACCCCAAAAACAAACATGATGGTATGCGGCTTACAGGTTCTTATGCAAAGAATTGGATCCGAAAAATGGACAAGAAAGCAAGTTGGTAATGATGCAAAGCCCAAACAGAAAAGAACTCTTCTATAACAACTTGAAGAGGGGACCAAAAATATGACTATTTTACAGTTATATGGAAGCCACCAAAAACAGTAAATAATACAACTCAACAATGTCATGCAAAGATGAAGGCTTCAAAAGAGGCTTATTAAGACACAAAGTATATTAGACGGAACAATAATTCCAACAAACAGCCAAAGACCTTAACTGAACACTATAAATTGGGCCAAAAAATAAGACTATTTCAGTACTGAAAAGCCAAAAACAGAAGCACAATGGGCTGTGCCAAAAGAATCAGAAAAAGGGGACCAAAGAAGGGATATAACATGAAGTGGCAGATGGAGGTCCCAAACAGTGATGAGCCCTTCTTCAAATGTTGAAGAGGGGCTCACAATAGCCTATTTACAGTTTACATCATGCTCCAAAAACAGATCACATATAGGCTAAATATCATGCAAGAAAATGGCATTCAGGGAGGATATTGAAGCAAGTGCAATATGGGGGCCTCAACAGTGTTGAGCCCTTAATAAAAAGTGAAAAAGAGCTCAAAAAGAAGGCCACTTTCAGTTAGGCCGGAGCTCAAAACAACAAGCATATATGGCTTAAAAATGACACACAGAAATGGACCAAAAAGGGGGAAATGAAACTCCCACTTGAAGACAAGTCTTTAGCAACTCTTGGCTTGAGTTTTTAGCACCTTAGGCCTTAAAGACACCGTTCAACTTTCTGGAATGGAAGGATGGGGTTTGGTGGTGTAGAAGATGGTGGTATACTTAGGAAGTTTTTTGCTAGAAAGGGATAGATGGAGGGATATTTTTGTATGCAAGCTTGAAGGTAATTTTTTCTAACCCCTAAGACCAATGTTGCATGCTGGTTATATGGACCAAAAGAAGAGGGAAGTAAGGTGGGGAAAAGGTGGGGAAAAGGAGGCAAGTTTTCCCCCAAAAATATCCCCCGGATACAGATATTTTCGGGGGAAACAACTATACAGTTGGTAAAGTGAATTTGGTTGAGGATCATGGCCGGCCACCTTTGGAGTTGCAGGTGGCCGGCGACCGGCCACCCCCCCTAGCCCGGCCGGCTAGGGGTCAAAAAGGGTCAAGTTGATTTTTTGGCCGGCCACCACAAAAAGGTGGTCCTCTCCAGGTCCCCTCATCACAATCCTGTGGTTCGAATTTGGAAACTGTAAAACAG